CCACTCTGAGAAATCGTCCCTGCAAGACCAGAATCTCTTCACTGAACATTTACACTTTGTAATTCAGCTGTTCTGGCTAAAACTTCCCTATGTGACTCTTCTGTTACAGCTAAACTAGTTATATGATGCAATTAAATTTCTTTTTTTTTTTTTTTTTTTTTTTTTTTTTTTGCCTAATCCCACCTCTTTTGAGTGCCAAATTCCTCTTACCTACTTTATCCACTTTTACTCACTCCCAGTTTGCTTTGATTTCTTCTTTGAATTTAATAGCAGTCTTGCAGTTCCTTTGATAAGTGAGCACGTGCCACATTATATAAGTTGAGTATTGTTTGTCCAGAATACTTTGTACCAGAAATGTTTTGGATTTCAGATCTTTTTGGATTTGGTATATTTGCATATACATGAGATATTTGGGGTATAGGACCCAGGTCACAACACAAAGTTCATTTATTTTTTATGTATACCTTATACACGTAACCTGAAGGCCATTCTCTGTACTTCTAGTATGCTTGTGGTTTGGCTGCAGCCTGTCACACGTGACCAGGTGCAGATGTTCCACTTGTAGCATGTATTGACATTTAAAAAGTTTGAAATTTTGAAGCATTTTAGATTAGTAATGCTCATCCTGTATATTTTCTTCTTGAAGTAGTTTTGTTTGAAAATCATTTAACTTTCTGTATTTTTGATGCCCTCCCAAAAAATTAAAAACCAGGAAAAGATACTGTGTTTACCTTAGCAAATTTAGCATTACTATCTCTAGAGTCATCAAGTATAGAAACCATTGGGTCTAAGTTACTATAGTTACTTTAATAATTTTGTTAGTAAAAAAATCAGTAAGAGCCAGGCATGATGACACACATCTATAATCCCAGTACTTGGGATATGAAAGCAGGAAGATCACTGAGGATGTACAGTGAGATCCTGTCTCTAAAACATACCAAAAAAGTAAAAGCTGGGTGTCGTTGTCCGTACCTGTAAACCCAGCATCAGCAGGCTAAAGCAGGAGGACTGCCACAAGTTCAAGGCCAGCCTGGGATACATAATGAGCACAAGGCCACCCTGAACTACATAATAAGACCGTATCAAAAAAAAAAAAAAAAGGCTGGGGCTGAGTGTAGCTCAGTACAGAGACTTTTGAGTTCAGACTCCAGTACCAAAGGAGTTGGGGGTAGAGGAGAAGAATGTAAAATCCAGACTTTGGTTAATTGTTTTCTATTATTGTGTTCCTTAGAAAATGAATATGAAACCTTTAAAAAATATATTCATGGTATCTGTATATTTATTCAGAGCTCTGTTAAATTCCTGGCTTTTTGTTTTATCTTCCTTAGGTTCAAAACTGGTCAAATCAATGGTGATCTGCTGATATACCACGTCTTGCTGACTTTAAAGCCATATTATGCAAAGCCATATGAAATTGTAGTGGACCTTACCCATACTGGGCCTAGCAATCGCTTTAAAACAGACTTTCTCTCCAAGTGGTTTGTTGTTTTTCCTGGCTTTGCTTATGACAATGTCTCTGCAGTATATATCTATAACTGTAACTCCTGGGTTAGGGAGTATACCAAGTATCACGAGCGACTGCTGACTGGCCTCAAAGGCAGCAAAAGACTGATTTTCATAGACTGTCCTGGGAAACTGGCTGAACACATTGAGCATGATCAACAGAAACTGCCTGCTGCCACCTTGGCTTTGGAAGAGGATTTGAAGGTGTTCCACAATGCTCTCAAGCTAGCCCACAAAGATACCAAAGTTTCTATTAAGGCAAGTTTTGTTTTGTGTCTTTTGATTGATTCATTGCTTTTCTTAAGCCAGTCCTTCCTAAGTATCTGTAAAACTATATATCAAATGTCATCTAGATGTAGGAAGACCAAGATTTCTCTTTATAGAAGAAATGTGATAAGTGTACACTTAATAATATCCTACATAGAGTTGGAAGCAGAAAAGTGCTACAGAAAAGGTGCTGTAGTTTATTTACTGTCAGTCACATAGTAAGAATGTGGGCAGTACCTAGTAAGAGTTCTTATTAGTGCATGATTTTTTCCAGTGTGGAGCAGGATCCTTCTGGATAAAATTAGTACTCATCTGTAAGCATCTCAGTCTTTTTAAAAGTTAAAATTAAATGCTTTCTGGGGTTTTTTGAGGGTATTTATCACATTAATTATTGAACCTATTTGAATGTATAATGGTAGTGACTCCTTAAATGACAAACATAGGGGGAGGATGATTCACTTGGCTGGCTTGTATTTTTGGAGCCTCTTCAAGTCCTACATTGTGTATCTGTAATGTAATTATTTTCCATTCTGTCCTCTCGCTCTCACTTTTCAGGTGGGTTCGACTGCTGTTCAAGTAACCTCAGCAGAGAGGACAAAAGTCCTTGGGCAGTCTGTCTTTCTCAACGACATCTACTATGCCTCAGAAATCGAAGAAATCTGCCTGGTGGATGAGAACCAGTTCACCTTAACCATTGCCAACCAGGGTACCCCCCTCACCTTCATGCACCAGGAGTGTGAGGCCATCGTCCAGTCTATCATTCACATCCGGACCCGCTGGGAACTGTCACAGCCCGACTCCATCCCCCAGCACACCAAGATCCGGCCGAAAGATGTCCCCGGGACACTGCTCAATATTGCATTACTTAATTTAGGCAGTTCAGACCCAAGTTTACGGTAGGATTTTTTGTCTGTTTTTAATTCAGCTTTGTCCAGGATTTGCTTGTTTAAAATGAGACCATTTAATAAGCCTTTAAGATAGCCTCTTTCTTAATACTGTAAATTGGAAAGTATGCTGTGTTGGTTAACCAGTGTGACCTCATCACATTGTGGGGTATTCGCATGAACTGTGGAATTCTCAATAGTATGATTCACTGTAAACCAGTATATGTTCTTTCTCTAGGAAACTTTCACCTAAAACAGACAACATAGCAGACCTTTTTTTTCTTAGAAGATTGCCATGAGTTTGAGGCCAACCTGAGACCCTATCTCCAAAAAAAGAAACTATTATTTTTTTTTAAAAAGCCTACTACTAAAGATGTGTCTCCTCTGAGTCCTCTTAAGTTTTCCCAGACTTAA